AACCCGCCACCTTAGGTGTACGTGGCTGGCGCCTTAGCCGGTTGAGCTATAGGCGCCGGGCCGACAAAAGGAATTTTTCAGCTCCATTATAATCTTATGGGACCACTAATCATATTTGTAGTTTGTCACTGACTGAAATATTGTTACACAGAGCATCACTGTATCAGCTTTGTAAAAGCCTGGTGACTTTTCTTTTGTCTTTTCATAGCCAGAAAAGTTAAAACCCATTTGTTAGGAAAAGCAGCAACCATCCCTCCTGTTTCTCTCTCCCAAGCAACTATAGCTGGAGACCCAGTCTTTATTACTACTCGGGGTTTATAAGGACTGAGGCCATGGAGTTTTTTTTTAAAATTTTCTTGAAAACTGAAATGTTTTTTTAAAAATGTTTGTTTTAGGGCGGCGCCTGTGGCTCAAAGGAGTAAGGAGCCGGCCCCAAATGCTGGAGGTGGTGCGTTTAAACCCAGCCCCGTCCAAAAACTGCAAAAAAAAAGAAGAAAAAAGTTTGTGTTGGCATTTACTTATGTTTTGTATCAAAAGATTTCCTGATTTTCTAGTCTACCATTGCCCCAGAAATAATAGGCAAAATGGGTTTATTGATCTTTCCCAGGAATTCTATAACTTTAGAAGGAATCCAGGTTAGTTCCACAAATTATTGCATGCCTTCTGTGTACCACCTACTATTTAGGGAAAATCACTTGTTTCCTAGAAGAATTCTGCCTTCATTCAGAAAATAAAACAAATATGCTTATCTTTCTCACCATCCTTCTGTAATCATCAATTAAGAAGATTACATCATATAAAAAGCATTATCAAATAAGTTCCAGTACTTCAGATAAAATTTCTATCTTCAGATGAAATTCTAGCACTTAAACTGCTACTGCAATGTATGGAGTACATTACCATTATTCACATGTGTGCACACACACATGCACGCACACACACACACCCCCTAGCTAAGTAGAAGAGTTACATTGAAGTTCATATATTTTTCAAAATTGTCTATTTTTCTTTGTGTTTAGATTTTCTTCTACCTGAGTTTAAGAGATACAGTAGTATGTAGTCAAATTAGTCATGCCTGGCTTTCGATGACACAGATGAGCTCATTGTGGAATGCTGTAAGTAGATGCTAACTGAATTGTGTCTTTATTCTGGTTCTTAAAGGAGAATGGACTACTATAAAGCTGCCCTTTCCTTGCTCCTCCCTCTGTGGCCACCAGCAGCAAAGTGCGTTTGGTTTTCTTTTGTTCAGACACAGGCCTGGAGGAAAAATTGAAAGATAATAATGTTATTTTAAAAGATATGGTATTGGTATTTTAAAATGTACATACTAATCGAATATTACTTTTGGATTGAAACAAAGCTCCATTTTATTGGGAGTTTGTATCCCATTCTAGTTTCATTATTGTTTGTCTGCTTTCTTTTCATGAGCACAGACGGTGTATTCAGTCCTTAAATAAGGGAAAGAGTTTGGGGTGTGCAATAGCCTTTTTATTACTCATAATTTGGAGGGGGTAGTTCTACAAAAAAGAAAGGATGACCTTAGTGTACTTGGCCGTTACTATGTAAATAGACTAGAGCAGAGATTTATGTGAGCATGGAGTGGCCAGGGATGACTGATAAACAATAACATTGATATTTTAGTTGTAATAATATTTTCAGCTAAAAGTTTGTGACCATCCCAATTTCTCAGTGCCTTCTGAACAGAGATTTGTGCTAAAATGCTTGTTAGAACTGTGCCACATTTGAACACTCATAAATAAAGGCAAAATATAAAATGAAGGGTAACATACAATTGTGGAAAGAGAAACTTGCTGAACTTAAAGAACCATAACTTCCTGCCCTGACTTTGTTCCTCACTGCCAGGTGTGGCCTCTTGGCAGAAGTGCTGTTTTTCTCTAACCCCTACCAGGCTTCTGCAGATATGTCCTGACCTTAATATTGTATATATTTTTTCTCATTTAGACCAGTTGGATTCATTTTGTCTTTTTTATGGCTTTCCAAAGGAAAAAATAACATCCCCAAACATCCAAGTAAGAGATTTATTTATGTTTGTATGTACTTTTTTTTTTTTTTTTGGCAGTCTCAACTCTGTCTCCTTAGGTAGAGTGCTATGGCTTCGTAGTTCACAACAACCTCAAACTCATGGGTTTAAGTGATCCTTTTTCCTCAGCCTCCCAAGTAGCTGGGACTACAGGCACCTGCCACAATACTCAGCTAGTTTTTCTATTCTTAGTAGAGATGAGGTCTCGCTCTTACTCAGGCTGGTCTCAAACTGCTGAGCTCAAGAAATCCACCCCCTTGGCCTCCCAGAATGCTAGAATTACAGGCATGAGCCACTGAACACATGGCGAAGAGATGTATTACTTTAAACCAGTGGTTCTGAAAGTGTGCTCCTGGGACGAGTAGCATTAGCATCACCCAGGAAGTTGTTGGAGATTCCAGTGGAAATTCAAATTCTCAGGTTCTATCCCAGACCTACTGAGTTTCAGAAATTCTGGGGGTAGTAATCAGCAATCTGTTTTGGTAATTCATCCAGATGATACTGGTACAGGATAAAGTTTGAGACTCACTGACGTAAGCTAAAAATAAACTTAAGCCAGGAATACCTAATTTGTTAGGTAGGATGGATTTGGCAAGATAGAATCAATTCTCTTCTTGCTAACATGAGAACAGAACAGTACAACTAAGAATGACACAGTGCTTTCATGTAACGTAAAGATGTTGAATTGATGTATGGAGCTAGAGCCACTGGCGCCTTCTCAATTCCTCTTAGTTTCTTTGAGTGAAGGTAAGAGCAGGGAGGTACAACCTGTGGCCTGCAGGCTGCTGGCTGATTTGGTGAGGATGTTTCTTGCTTATCCGTGGTGTCAGATATCACAAAAAGTACACACAGATCTTTTTTTCTTTTTTTTTGCTAACCAGCTTTGTTAGTATTTTTGTATTTAATGTGTGGCCCAAGACAACTCTTGTTCTTCCAATGTGTGGAGAGAAATAAAAGGTTGGGTACCCCTTTTAGAGTTTCTATGCCATAAATGGCACTACACCACCTATTAATACGTCAGTCTGAGCATGTGTTAGCATCAGTCCTCTAATCATTAGCGATAAGGAAGGATTATGAAGTAAGCTATGAACTGGACTTTAGACAATAGGGAATATGTGGCCACGGAACATTGATTAATGGCATAGATGATCATATTTGTAATTTTTTTTTCTTTTTAGAGACAGAGTCTTACTTTGTCACCGTGAGCCGTGGTGTCACAGCTCACAGCAACCTCCAGCTCTTGGGCTTAGGCGATTCTCTTGCCTCAGCTTCCCAAGTAGATGGGACTACAGGCACCCGCCACAACGCCCAGCTGTTTTTTTGTTGCAGTTTGGCCAGGGCTGAGTTCGAACCCGCCACCCTTGGTAAATGGGGCCAGCGCCCTACTGACTGCGCCACAGGCGCTGCCCTGATCATATTTGTTGAGATGAAAGTATCATCTAAGAAACAAGAGAATTTGGGTGATATATGCTCATTTGCTTATTTTTTCCTTTTAATCATTGGCTGAGTCCTCTCCCCAGTGTTCCTCTGGAATGAGAAATATAGACATGTTTTAGGTTACAGAAATAGTACAGAAATAATACTAGTGCAAGTACAGTACAAAAGTACCATCTTAGGAGTCCATATTAGAAAATGCGAGGGGTATATGTGTCTGCATGCATGCAAGCACACTAAGAATATCAGACAGGCTTTGCTTGTGTGTTGTGTATTTTAGTTCTATTCTATGCTTGATTTTTATTTCTAAACCATTACTTTAAAAATGGTTTTATTTTATGTACAACTAAAGGACAGATGTTTTGTTTCTAATCCTTATCTTAAACATTGTTATTGTTGTTTAATTTTAAGCCTTTTTAATTCTGTGAAGGCAAAAAGTAGAAACCTAATAATCATGTGTATGTAAAAATTATATAAAAAAAGAATAGATGTTCTACCCATAAATTCTATTTTTCAAAAACTATTAAGAGCTTTTATAAAGAAAATCACATAGCAAATTTTACTTTTTTCTAAGCCAAACTGTATCCAGCTTTATTAAAGATACTTTTCATAAACAATCATAGTATTTCAGACAAGACATGGGCAGATAGTCGTTAACAGTATATAATAACTTTCAAACTCCCTTCTTCAAGGGAGCCGCTATAAAACCCAATGAAGTCTTCATTTGATGCTCTGAACAGGGTAAGTTTAGAGTGAGGGTTGACATTTCACATTTAGATGTTGTTTAACAACTTTTTGCAAGCTGACCCTGACTTTCAGGAAATGAAAAGAAAATGGCAGAATTGGTCGGACCATCCACAATCTATAAATGGAACTGCTGCTCTTTGAGAGATGCCATCTCAGTGTCACTGGAAAAGTCTCGATTCCTTGACATATTGGAAACCAATTATTGGGGATCAATTTTCAGAGGTGACTGGATATAAGGGAGTTAAGCCTATGCTGAAGGCAGAGAGGGAGAATAGGACATAAAAACAAATTAGTTTTTTCATAGCAAAAGGCATTTGTGCCAAGGTTGCTGTATGTTGACATCAGGGAATCCCTTCTCTTGGGAGCAAAGAGGAAGTCACTCAAAACTAGAAGGGAAAGGTGTTTTCCCCATGTCAATCTAGCTTGGAGACATTCTATTAGTGATATAAGCTCCTTCTCCAAAAAGTAACAATGAAGTTTTCTGTGTGCTAACAACATAACTTAAAAAAATGCACACACTTCACTTGGCATCTCCTGCACCTTCAGCTTTCTGTGCCTGGTCTGTCTGTTTTGACATCTGCATTTTCTGCAGGGTTATTCCCCTCCTTGCCAGCATCAGCTTTTCCCTTTTTCCCTTTGGGTACCTTCTCTGCCTTCTTTGCAGGGGCCTTTTGAGACTTGGGCTCTGGCTTTGGAGGAGCAGGTTTAGCAGACAACCTTGTGGTTCTCTGTGGTTCGTCCTTTGCCTGGGCTTTCTCTCCTTTAGCATCCCCTTCAGGCTTTCTCTTGGGCATGATGGTGGCAGCAGGATGTAGGCTAGAAGCGGGGATGCAGCAGCGCTTGGGACTTTGGTTGGTCCAGGGATTGTTCTTGCTGCCTCTTTTTTTCTTCTTTTTGGAGTCATCATAGCTCAGAGCAACCTCAAATTCTTGGGTTCAAGCTATCTTCTTGCCTCAGCCTCCCAAGTAGGTGGGACTACAGGTGCCTACCACAACACCTGGCTAGTTTTTTCTATAGTAGAGATGGAGTCTTGCTCTTGCTCAGGGTAGTCTTGAACTCTTGAATTCACCTGCCTTGGCCCCCCACAATGCTAGGATTACAGGCATGAGCCACCACACCTGGCCCTTGCCTCCTCTTCTTCACACTGCTCCTACACAACAATTTTTAAAAAGCACTGGGATTCCTCTGCTTCTAGATCACTGGGCTAGAAAAATAAACTTTGTTCTACTAGGAGTCACAAGTTAGCACTGAGTATTCTCCAAAGTGGAAATTATATGGTGCCATTTCAGACAAAGATTATTCAGCTTTCATCCCCAACATCCATAACTTCTTAGAACAGTTAAACCAGGCCCAAACAGTTCAGTGTCATTAGCCTTCATGATATGAGGCCACTATGCTCTTGTAAGATGCAAGTAGCCCAAAACAGGAAATATGCATCCAAATAAAAGATATTATTAGAAGCTAATAGTCACAAATTGTTAGTTCCTTATTGTATCCTTCCTTCATAACATTAATAAAAGGAGTATTTTACTGCAAAGAAAATTTTATTTTACCTATCACTAGCCAGAATTTTTGTCCTTAGTTATTACACAAATGCTATCTAGTCTCATTACCCAAATGGCACAGTTATGACAATTCACTTATGTATTTACAAACAGAATTTTCACAATTTATATAAGCATTCCTATCAGTGAATAACATTGAGATGCAATCTAACATCTGTACTGTCTGATGTTTTTTAGATAGCAATGTAGGAGATATATTATTAATTACCTTTCGAGTGGCCTTATGTAAAAAATAAATATGTTATTACCTACATGTTCTAGTCTCCAAAGGGCTTTTTCAAATGTACATATAGAAATGGTTACAGACAGTGAGAGTTTTAAGAAATACCTTTCATGTCCACATCCTCTTTGCTGTACCATTTTCTCATCCAGCTGCATTCCTTTGCCTGCAAGAGGGGCTTGGATAAGATGTATGTTTTGCTTAACTTCTTTGATGTTCTGAACTTTCTGTAGCTCTTTATTTTTCTTTAATCTGTTCATTATAAATTTAGCTGGTGTTTCTGTTTGATCTCTTCAAGAGTCTTCATTGCATCAATAATTTTATTCATATATCTCTCTGCTATTTGCATGTTCAGTTTTCTAAATTTTCAAATTCAAGTGAATTATAAGCTCTTCACCAGCTACTTTCCAGAATGTTTTTACCTGACCTTGCCAGGACTGTGCTCCTTTAAAACATTTTTATAACATTTGGATTTACAAAATCTGAACACTTTGCAATCATTGTGGATGAACATTATGCTATGGCCAGAGTAGATTGGCCTCGAACAGAAATAACATTTCTTGATATTCATGTTGAACCTGTGTAGGTCTCCACCTACCAAACGCCAGGCTTGATAGAAAATGACCCTATGCTTGATTTTTAAATCTCTTTACTTCATGTTTGTACTGCTTTGTCATGTTTTTTAAACTAATAATAGTAGTTAATTTTTATTAAGTGTTGCCTATGTGCCAGGTGCTACACTAAGCACTTTACTTGAATTTTCTGTTTGTCTCTGTAGCTTCCTGAGTTAAGCATTATTTTTTTTTCCATCTTACAGAATAAAAAAATCTAAGGCTTAGTTAAGTAATTGTCTAAATTTTTAACATTAAGTGCCTGCAATAAGATTTAGGCTTATCTAACTACAAAGTATGTGCTCTGAATTAGTAAATATTTATTAAGGTATGCCAGGTTTGCCATTTGCTTTTCCTTAACTGGAAGAATAGAATTTCTGCTCTCCAGGTACTTTTAAAATAATATCTTGCAGTCTGTGACCCAATTCTCATAAAAAGCTGGGCGCCGAGAGTAATATTCATGGTGGATTTGAGAACATTAAGTTCTCTAGATACTGTGAATTTTGTCCCTGAGTTAAATCATCCAAACAGAGGTAGCACACTTGGACACTTTTGCTTCTAAGTTGTATTTTTTGCCCTAAATTCAGCTTCTGTGCAGTATTTTGTTACATGGAAGTCCTTCAATTTATTTAATCAGTCTCATATTAAAAGATATTTAGTTTGGTTTCTATATTGCTATTAAAATACTGTAGTGAGCATTGTTTCTCTCTTTTTTTTTTATACACATGTATGATTATATCTTCAAGATAAATTCCCAGATGTAAAATTATTAGAGTAAGGATTGATTTATACTCACAAAAGTGTATGGAGTTATAGAATATCATTTGCTCCACAGTTTTCTTAGCTTTCTGTACTTTTTAGTATCTGATCTCTCATGGTTGTTTTAATTTATATATCTCAACTCATGAGAGAGACTGGACATTATCTCCTATGTTAAGCTAATTTGCATTTACATTTTTTATCCTAATATACTATACTGTTTATCAGCTAACTCAAAATCATTTTTGGAAACAAACAAGGATATGTGTGTGTATTCCTTATTTTATTTATGAAATTATAAATAAAGCATTCAATACTAATACTAAATAGAACACTCAAACTAACATTTCAGTTTCTATATGGAAATGATTTGATGTAAAGCTTTTAGTACTTGATGCTTTAAAATACTTAAAACTTTTACATGAAAGAGATTTTTCTCATTTCTTAATACCTTTTGTTTGTCATTTTTAGATCGATTTTTCTGCAGTGAAAAACATAATTACAGAAAAATATGTTGTATCTACTTTGCAAAAGTGGCGTCTCAATGTGCTGCGTTTGAATTTCCGTGGTTGTCTCTTCCGACCCAAAACTTTCAAATCCGTTAGTAAGTATGTTTATTACAACTCTTTGTCTTGCTTTCCTGATTGTAATTAAGCAAATAAAAAGAAAAGCATAAATAAAGTAGAAACTTCAGTTAGTCTTAGTTCCCAAAATGTCAATTGTTACCATTTAAAAATCTTGTAATATGGTCAGATCCTGGAAGTTGGTCATCTGTGTATTCTTCCTGACCACTGTCTTTTTGTCTAGTATTTTTCTATCAGTGGATCATCATTTATTACAATATAATAGGGTAGTGCCTGTGGCTCAAAGGCACCAGTCCCATATGCTGGAGGTGGCGAGTTCAAACCCAGGCCCGGCCAAAAACCGAAAAAAAAAAAATACAATATAATAAAATGTTCTCAAAAAAAAAAAGTCTAACAATGGATAGTAAAAGCATCTTTCTTCAGCTCACTCAAACCCATTCACTTACTCCAAGGCACCAATGTATCAGTTTTCTGTTTTTATAAAATACATATGTGGTGAAAAATACACAGTTTTAATTTTTAACATGAAGAGAGTGTACAGTTTTATATTTTCTTTTATGTCCTGGAAATCTTTTCATGTCAGTACATCTAGATCTACTAAATTCTTTTAAATACTATGATATCATTTTCCATAATATAGATGTACCATAATTTATTAAACCTTCTTCCTATTGATGGACATTAAGATTATTTTCAATTTTTTTCAACTAGGCTGCTTTGTACTTCCATTGTGATATTTGTCTTTAACCTATATATCCTTTGAGATTAGTTTTTTTGCTTTATCACGTACATATTTCTGGAAATGAGAGACAGAATATACATATTTCAAAAAATTGTACATTCTTACTGATTCCAGATAATAAAAAAGAATGCTGTATACATGTGTAAATATCAACTTGAGTAAGTCTGAAGATATTAATGGGTGAAATCAAATTGCAGGATGATGTATATAATCTAATACCATTTATATACAGTTTTGAATATGCAAAATAATACATACATACTTTACTTTTTCTTTTGAAATAATTTCAATAATACCTTTTTGAGGACACACATATAGCTAGTCCCATAAAAAGCACGCATGGGAATGAAGAACGGTAACTGCAAATAGTGCAAGGGGATAGAGAGACAATTTAATAAAGTGGGGAAGAGGTACACAAAGAGTTTCAACTGTACCTGTAAATATTTTTCTTGAAAAAAGAAATTATACAAAATAGGATAATTCTGATTGGTTATTAGTAGTACTGTATAAAGCTATCGTTTTTTGTCTGATATCATTGTATTTAACTGTGTAGTAAGCCCCCTTCTTGGTTTTAATAGTTTGTCAGTTGATTCTCTTGGGTTTTCTATGTTGACTGTTATAATCTGGGAATATCAACAGTTTTATTTCCTCTTATTCCTACTATATATTTTTTTCTCTCACTTTTTTATATTCATTCCTTAGGAGCTCCTTTGCAGTGTTGAAAAGCAGCAGGGGTAGGCAACAATCTTGTCTTGTTCTTGACTCCTTTTTTCATATTTTTAATGACAGCAACATTTGTATTATTCTATTCAACTTCTGGGATGTGGGAATATAATACAATTCTCACTTGTACAGCAGCTGTCTCCTTCACAGTCCTTGTTCAATCTGATCACATCTGCCTTTGGATTTTTAAGAACTATTAATTTCTGATCCCCCAACACTATTCCTGCTTTGTCTTCTAGGAATGTTATAGAGTTTTGAAAAAAGACATAGTCTTCCCCTGTCACCTAAGCTGGAATGCAGTGGCACAAACATAGCTTACTGAATCCTGAAACTCCTGGGCTCAAGCATTTCTTCTGCCTCAGCCTCCCAAATGGCTTTGACTACAGACACATGTTACCATGCTTGGCTAATTTTTTCTATATTTTGTAGAGATAGGGTCTTGCTAAGTTGTCCAGGCTGGCTTCAAACACCTGGTCTCAAGGGATCCTCCTGCCTTGGCCTTCTGAAGTGCTGGGATTATAGGTATGAACCGCCCTACCTGGTCTTAGTCCAAGTATCTTTATCACAGAAGAAAATATGAAAGTGTGAGTAGACCTTGATTTTTTTTTTTTTTTTTGCGACAGAGCCTCAAGCTGTACCTCTGGGTAGAGTGTTGTGTCATCACAGCTCACAGCAACCTCCAACTCCTGGGCTCAAGCAAGTATCCTGCCTCCACCTTCCAAGTAGCTGGGACCAGAGGTGCCCATCAAAACGCCTGGCTATTTTTTGGTTGCAGCTGTCATTGTTGTTTGGCGGGCCAGGCTGGATTCGAACCTGCCACCTTAGGTGTATGTGGCTGCTGCCTTAGCCACTTGAGCCACAGGCGCCGAGCCGATTTGTTTTAAGGAAGTAAATAACTATTTCATCTTTGTGAGATTTTTAATTTGACAAAGATGACTTAATAAAATTACTTTTATGTCCAGCAACTTTGAGTCTGTCAAAGATAAAAACCATTCTCAGAGATGTTTTAGCTTTTCCATTACCCTCCTGCCTAAGGTCAGTTCATCTGTTGATAAGTCTAGAATTACACACATTTCTGGCAAGAATTTTAGTTCTCTGATTGTTAGATTGAGGATAAATATTGGCTGATATTTTGGGTTCTTTGGCTGACTGGACACAATAGTTGTAATCTTATGTCAATAAAAGGATTAGAAGAAAATTAACTTTAGAATGTCATCTAACAGCTGGGCATGATGGCTCATGCCTGTAATCTTCGCACTCTGGGAGGCTGAGGCAGGTGGATTGCTTGAGCTCAAGAGTTTGAGACCAGCTTGAGCAACAGGGAGAACCTGTCTGGGTGTCATGGCAGGTGCCTGTAATCTCAGCTATTTGGGAAGCTGAGGCCAGAGGATTTTTTTGAGCCCAAGAGTTTGAGGTTGCTATGAGCTGTGATGATGCCATGGCACTCTACCCTGGGGTGACAGTAAGAATCTATCCAAAAAAAAAAAAAAAAAAAAGAAAAGAAAAGAAAAGAGAGAGAGAAAAAATGAAAAAAGAATGTTATTTTAAAATGTTTAAAAAGTGGATGAGGGGACCAGTTTACAGAATTTAGGCAAATAAATTCTCATTTCTGAATTACCTCTAATTGCTAGAGCAGGAGACTTGTTTAGATTTTTCAGAAAAAGACATGTATTGATCCAAGGTGTAGGATCCAGAAGAGGGAATGGTAAGTAAATGGGGAAAAAAAACCCCAAAAAACAACTGTTGAAAGTTAAATAACTTTCTCAAAAAACTAGGCCTTATTAATTCAGGCTTAGAATTCAGGAGACCTCAGTTTAGAGTAAACCTTATTTATTTCAGAAAAATTAGAGAATCTTAGGACTAGTGGGAAAGTTAAAAAACCAAACTTTATCCAAGCACTCAAGCGATAAGTATATATGGTCAATATGTGTACCTCATGATAGTCATATTTTTGACTACTGTAAGATAAACTTATTTTTTGAATCTCATGAACTTCATCATCTATTATTATTATTATTATTTGAGACAGAGTCTCAAGCTATATCCTTGGTAGAGTACCATGGCATTATAGATTACAGCAACGTCCAATTCTTGGACTTAATCCATTCTCTTGCCTCAGCCTCCCAAGTAGCTGGGAATACAGGCACCAGCCACCACACCCAGCTATTTTGTTTTTACAGTTGTCATTGTTGTTTTAGCTGAACCAGGATGGATTCGAACCCACTACCCTTGTGTATGTGGCCAGTGCCCTGCTGACTGAGCTACAGGTGACACCTTCATTATCTATTAAACAGAAAAAAGTCCAAAGGCAAATTATTAGTGTAACTATCAAGAAATTGGTAGAAGAGGAAGTGTCTAACTGTTCATTCCATAGATCAACTGTGCTTTCCTGTAAGTATAAACTCTTATTTAGAGAAAAGCAAATCTTTTTTTTGTTTGTTTGTTTTGAGACAAAGTCTCAAGCTGTTGCCCTGTGGCTGTGGTGTCACAGCTCACAGCAACCTTAAACTCTTGGGCTTAAGCCATCCTCTTGCCTCAGCCTCCCAAGTAGCTGGGACTACAGGTGCCCGCCACAATGCCTGGCTATTTTTTGGTTATAGTTGTCATTGTTGTTTGGCGGGCTTGGGCTGGATTTGAACCTGCCAGCTCTTGTGTATGTGGCTGGGGCCCTGGCCTCTTGAGCTACAGGCGCCGAGCCAAGAAGAGCACATCTTAAGCTATCAAGAATGTACTTCAACTTAAGCTCTGAGAGATGTTAGTAACTCCTACTGACTAACTTTTGGATGATCTGGGTTAATTTCTATTTCATTGTGTTCCAGAGCTTTATTTCCAAATAGATCCCTGGAGATGAAACTGAATATAAAAATCAACCAATTAAATCCCTAACTGGCTTCTAAAAGTTAAATTTCTCTGAGTCAGATTTAATCTCATTTTATTCCAGAATCTTCTTGTCCCCAGTGTGATTCTCCTGTCTCCTACAAAGGTCACATCAGGTTTTCTCCATCATCAAATCTTGGCTGTTTCAGGAACTATGTGCTTAATATTCCATTCTGAGACTCATGAACGATAACAAATGAATTTGTTATTTCTCTGGTAACTCTTCAGATTTAACAGTGTCTTTAACAGTGAACAATGTGGAAATTTACATAGAGAAACAATATCTTTAAGTCTCTACCTTTGACCCAAACCATTGGTAATACAATCCAGAGTCATTTCCTAAAACGCTAGTTCTGGCAACACTTTGAGCTTCCCATTCTCTTGGTTTCCTGTACATATTAATACAGATTTTAACAACTTTGAGCAAAACTATCTCCTGCCCTCATTTCTGCTCGTGGAGAGAAAGGGTTAACTTTACTGGTACTTGCGCTACTTTTCTTTTGGATACATATCTTATATGTGTGATATATAAAATATAATAACACATGTATACATGAGGTATGACAAAGTTTATGGACTCATCCTAGACAAAGTGCTACATACCTCATTGCTGAATATCACTATGGTCATCTTCGAAGTGCTCCCCTTGGAAAGCTATGTGCCAACATGAGCGTCTAG